CAAGGAGTAGTTTTGCCTTATTTCCTAGAGCATAGAATTTGGTTTTAGTTTTTTGAAGATTAGTATCATAATTTTGGAGTAAAAGTAAAATAGTACGTAGTTTGTTTCTTTCTAAATTTAGGGTCGCGGATGTGGAAGGGTTCGGGGTCTGTTTGTTTATTGTTTCATGTAAACGGATTGAGGTCAGTAGTTGGGCAATTTGTTGGGATCTCTGTCTATTTATGCGGGATTTCAATTGTATGAGGATACCTCTCATGTAGGCTTTGTATGTCAGCCAAAGTGTAGTGATTGAGATATCCGGGGTAGAGTTCGTTTCGAAAAAGAGTTTGTGGGCGTCTAGGATATGCTTCTGGTTTTCTGGGCTTTTCAGAAGTGAAGAATCCAATCTCCAAATAGGTGGGATTGCAGAGCGTGTGTCGTCTTCCAAGGATATACTGATCGGAGCGTGGTCTGACCAAGTTATGGTTCCGATTTTGGATGATCTCACGTGTTGTAATGTCCACTTGTCAGTGATGAAATTGTCGATTCTCGAATATGAGAGGTGAGGAGGGGAGTAGTAGGTGTAATCTCTCTCGGTGCCATGTTGACATCTCCAGATATCATATAGATCGTGATCGTGTAGGAAATGGTTAAAGTCAAGTTTGGTAGGTTTTTTAGTAGAAGATGAATCTAAGAGCGGATTACCCAGTACATTGAAATCGCCACCAATGATAAGTCTGCCTTGTTTATGGCGCGATATGGTTTTGTAAAGCTTGCGGAAAAAGGACAGTTGTTTGCTGTTTGGGCCATAAACATTCACTAGGGTGTATGTCATATCATTTATTTGACACACTAAGATATGATATCGGCCATGTGGGTCGGCTATGCTCGAAATAGTTCGAAGTGAAATAGAGTCTTTAATAGCGGTGAGAACTCCATTCTTCTTTTTGGTTTCAGTTGCCATAAATGTGTGGGAGAAGTGGTGAAGCTGTAATTTTGGTATTTTTCCCGTGACTAAGTGGGTCTCTTGTATGAAGATGATGTCGGCTTGGGATTTCCTTATTTCTTTGGAGAGCATCGATCTCTTGAAGGGGGAGTTAAGGCCTCGTACATTGAGGGATGTGATGTTAATCATTTAATAGTCCATTCCTGAGGTGTGTAGTTAAATGATTTGTTATTTGATAGAGGTGTAGTTCCATGAGTGTCCATTTGCGAGAGTTAAAATTTATAACACTGCAGTGTAGGTTGGGTGCGATTGGTAAGCTGTATGTAGTTTTCCATGTAAAGTCAGAGTAAATAGCTGTTAGATTGAGGGTAGATAAGTGATGGTGCCACCTTTGAGGGGGAGAAGGGAAACTTAAAACACTAAAAAAGAACTTGCAAAAAATGCAAGGAAATCGAATAGCTTCCATAGCTACTTCAAAACTGGGGGGTGCGAACAATTCTTGACCGCCTAAGGGGTCAGGTCAAGTGTAAACTTGAAAATCGAGTTTCAACAATTCTAGGCCGATCGCCAGTAGATCGGTATTGAATGAAAGTCTCTGGGGACAAGTTCCCGTAAAATTTTGCCTCGTGTATCTTGTTTACCCTTGTTAGTTAGTTATGATGCTCCATGTGTTGAACAGGAGGAAGAGCAGTTCCCTGTGTGTCTACGGGTATGAAATTCCATGCTTTGAGTAGATCTAGGCCTGCTTCAAGGGATCTGATTGTGAAAAGTCTACCTTGGTGCCGAACTGTTAGCTTTGTAGGGAAACCCCATTGGTAGGCTATGTTATGATTTCTTAGGGCCTTGGTAATGGAAATCATTTTTTTCCTGTTGAGAAGTGTGGCTTTGGAGAGATCCGCATATAATCTAAGATTAGCATGCGTTGGTGGAAGTGGTGGCGGGTTCCTAGCCACCTTCATGATTCTCTCTTTGATATGGTAAAAATGTATACGTGCCAATACGTCTCTTGGAATGGCCGCTGGTAGAAATGCAGGTTTGGGTAGTCTGTGGGCCCGATCGATCGCAAGCTCTAAGTCAGGAATCGATGGGATGAGGGTTTTGATGTATTGTTGTAAATAAGGGAGCAGCGTCTCATTGGTTACTGATTCAGGTATCCCTCTAAATTTAATGTTGTTACGGCGTGATCTGTCCTCTAAGTCGGCTAATTTTAGATTGATTTGTTCGATGTCAGAAGTGTGATCCGTATGAGCGTCAATCAGATCATTATGTGCCTTTATTATATCTCCCATATTTGTTTCAACGTGTTGTATTCTGCGTTCTTGCTGGTTTATAGCGCAAGTAATTTGGTTGAGTGATGTGGAAAAATCTGTGTGCAGGGTCTGCCGTAGCGATGAGAGCATGTTTTTCATGCATATTTCTGTCAGCGGTTGATCTGATGCAGGGAACGCATCTATGTCAGGAAAAGACGCATGAGGTGGTGGAGGCGGAGTATTTAAGGCCTGATATGAGGGGTCAAGGTCATGATCTAGTCGTGGCCGAGATTTGGCTGGGCTGCTGGATGTAGGGGACAGTGGGGGTGATAACTCACCAGGGTCCCCTGGGTACAGTGACTGTCTCAGCCTGGGATCCGTGTGCTGGTCCCTGTAGTCCTCCTCATGGCTGCCTCTGTCTCCCTGCATGCTGCTGTTGTGACTGTTGCGGGCGCCATCTTGGATTCCCGGCCCGACGGCCGGGAAGAAATCAGTGAGTTTCCCCGGCTGCCCTGGGGTTTTCCTCCTGCGGGGCATGGTCACCGAGGTGCGGGTGCCTGTCGGTAAGAGCTGGGAGCCGCTTGTTGTCCCCAGAGCCGGTGTGAGCCGCTTAATGCTGGCGGGTGGACGGAGCTGTCAGCAATGCACGTCCATCCGGGTGCCGGCCGCGCATGCGCCCCACACAGCTGTTTTTTTTACATTCTGATGCACAAATATGCAGCCTCTTGGCATGTGTTTAGGTAAGGGGTTTAAGACTGTACTAATGGAAAGAACTCAAGGAGTGCTAAAAGTCCCCAGGTTAGGGGGCACAAATTACTTGCCTTGTCCAGGGTGCTGACAATCCATGCTACGCCACTGGTACCCTTTCTGCCTACGTGAACAAATATGAAACTTCCACTCTTAAGGTGATACACACTGTTTAGTTTCAGTAGCAATGGAGTCCTTTCAGGTGGTGACACATGTTTTGCATATGATGTTCAAGGAGAATAGAAATCTCGAAAATACTCGTAAAACAGATTATCCCACTGGTAGCAGCCAACATGCCACAATACTGACTGAAGAATTTAGGAATATTGTATAGTAGGTGATCTGTTATTTAGGATACTACACACTTTGGGAAACAGGATAAGGGGGTCAATTAATTTTGAGTGACCTTAGAACAATTGTCAAAACCAAACAGCATTTGCCCATCACAACAAATCCCAACCCTTTGACATAGATCCTTATTATGTTTGTGTGTTTATAGGTTTGTGAGTATAGAGATCCCACACTTGGATCTATAATATAAATGCTTTTACAATGCACACTTATGCTCACCTCTAATAAGGCATTCAAGGTTATCTTTGATTATTCAGTTAAATTAAGTATTATTTAAGACTGTACTCTGTTTATGTTATGAGATTGTTTCAAGATCATTATTATTCTTGCCATTCTGTATTACTCCCAGCTCTTTTTTTTTTTCTCCCTACACATCCATATGTATGTTTTGGTGCAGTATTTATTTAAAAACTGGTGTTCCCATATTTGATAATGACTGACGGAAATAACTGAGAGGGGAATATGTAAGGTGATGGAAAATGATATGAACACTTTAGAGAGAAGAATAATCAAAGTGTTCTTTCATACTTGAGAAGCCTGCACACAAGTTCCCGTTGAACGTTGATTTAGATTAAAGGTTTCAAATTAAAAAATGAAATCTTTTTATAGTTTCAACCCTCATGATAATTAAAAAAAAAAATCTACTGAACCCAATGGCCATTTTCACATTACAAATGAATGGATGTTTTCAAGAGCAATCCTAAGTATCAAGAGATACTCATATTTGCATACCTAATTCTCCATTGTAAAAATGATATAGCATAAAGTGTTATATAATACACAAAGACAGAATGCAGACTGACAGCTCATATTAATCTAGAAAGCAGGCATGGCATAGCATTTCAAGCTAAGGTACTAATGCATATGTATAATTTGACTGCAGATACCAATTGATATTCACAGAATATGCAGAGGCCACAAAGGTCTTTGTTGTTCTTTGCAAATAGTAATGATATGAACAGTTCTGTCATTGATAGAATATAAATATAATTAAGATCTTCGCGCAAGGGTGAAATAACAGTTGTCTTTATATGATCATACAATAAACTATAAAAGATACTATTATTACACAAGTACATTAAAGTATGTATGATTTATACCATTTCACAACTTACTGGTTCATTAATACAACCTAATATAAAAGTCATAAGAAATATAAATTACATACATATCAGTTATTTGAGTGTGATATTTTACATAATATAAGCAGAAGACTTGATATTTGTTTTATTGTCATAGGTTATGTTATAGCATCATTAGGCAGGGTGCATCCATCAAGGTACAGACTCTAGAAGTACTTTAGCTTTAATAATGCCATTGGCAGTAGGGATGAAACTTGACTATTGTAAAACAAGTAAAGTGCAGGAGACAACTGACAATGCAAGCGGATTCGGAGCAGAACAAAGGTCAGGGCAGACTGCACACCACTGTGATTTTGGAATGCAATCTGAGTCAAAATCAAGGGCAGTCAAAAGTAGGAGTCATGGAATAGGCTGCATTCAGCACCAGAAAATATTAAGTGCAGAAACAGATATCAATTTCATAGAAATGTATTATCAGATAATCAGATCCAAGATACACAAATATATATTTAATAGATTCAGGTTCAGAAACCTTTGCTATGTCCATGAACCAATGCATTGTTCCAGGTTTAAATTTAACAAATTATCATTATCAAATAAATGTCTGTAAAGAACCTTAAAGTGTTACTAAACCAAGGACCCTGTATTCACTATACCTATTCTCCCACAGTACACAGAACATGGAAATGAAATTATTTCAGTTAATATAAACTGCTAAATATCTTTTCTCATCAGCAGTTAGAGCAGTCTTGTGAATTCAGCAGAGCACTGGTTAAAGTTTGTAGGAGGAGTTTTTTCTGCTCTAGGAGGATGTGAAACCTCTAACCCTCTGTCTGGACAGTGCTGATTGGCCCTGTGCTGATCACATGCAATTTCCCAAGAGAAAAAAAACTCTTCTCTAGCAATACACACAAAACTGGGCATGTGCATGTGACCACGGGTTCAGTCTGTATCAGGTGGTCATTTCAACAAGAGGAGGGGCAGAGAAGAAAGGATCAGCCTTTTTACACAATGCAGAGGATTAACCCCTTAGGTTCCACAGTGAGTATAACAAGCATGCGGCATCTACATACTGATTTTACTGCTGTGGGTTTAGTAAAACTTTAATTAAATAGAATAATCCAGCTTTTAAATACATAAATAAATTATACTTCTTTTTTTTAATAATTCATAGTACCATCAATGGCTCTACAATTCTGTTTTTTTTTTTATAGTCAGCAAGCACAGGACTACATATCCCATGCCTGCTTGTATGCATGCAAACAGAGGGGCCACAGTGTTGAAGCAGGAATATTTCACTATGAGCTAGGAAGGTGAATGTGTGTCCCCACATCAGCTTGTACTACACAGTGAGAGCATGCATTTCAAGGGTGACAACACTACTACTTGTTAGGGAGCTGCATGGGAAGGGTTGTCACCATAACACAAAACCTTGCACTAGAGGCTGTAAATGACAGTTTCAACAGGTTGAAAGAAAGAAATCTAAAAGGAAAGATATAAAAAAACTGAATTGAGGCAATAAGACAAGTGTCAAGCAAAGTTTATTCAATTTTAAACTTATGGTTTAGATACACTTTACCTCTTGTGCTGATGATTATCTGGCAGCAGATGGCATGGGAGCACACCTAGACACATTGAGCATTGAACAAGCAAAGAACAAGAAATGGATCAGAAGAGCTAAAAAGTGAAAAATCCACTAACTGCAAGAGATATGAATGTGATGGATTGTTAAATTGAATGTGTATTGACAATATAATACATACATAAATAAATATGTGTGCATGCCACAAAAAAGATCACATTAAATGGTGACAACTATAAATTAACCAAAATCCAGTTAAACTCTTAAGCTGCAATCTTGCTTCTTTATCATGTTACCTGTGATATGTGTGATCTGACCAGTTTGATGTAAACAAGATATTATATTTTTTTTCATTTGCTAAACTTAACTTTTAAAGAAAAAATCTACAGCTATTGTATTACACAAATATTGTTGTGTTAAAAAGTGATAACCAGAAGGTCAAGTATCCAGCTGCTCATCCCAAATAGAATATACAAAAGAACACCCCCATGAGGGACTTTCATGCAGCAACCATAGTAAATATACATATAGAGACTTCATTAAAAATATCTGCTTTATTCCATAGACATCCTTATAAAAAATACACATTTATTTCAAGGACATTAGCTCTGACAATGCTGAAATTCACTTTCTTCACAACATGGAGGAAGCTCCCAAGGAAGGGGAACTACTCCACATATAATTTAAAATGGACTCAGACAATAATACAAAATACTTCCTCCTAGGCATGAAAAAAACTCCCAAGAAAAGGGAGACTGCCCCGACGCATTTCGATCACTCCATTTTTTATCTTCTTCAGGGGGCTGAACACAGAAGGCATTTTTATTAAACATACAAAAATAAATGATAATATACACATAATCGTGAGTGAGTAATAATAAACCAATTACCATAATTTTACTTACACAAGAGATTATATAGAAATTGATCAGAGCAATTCTGAGTGATATCCAGGATGAGATTGCATATTCCAAAGCGTCAATGGTGTGGACCCACCAAAAGAGTAAGAGTGGTCAAATATACATCCCATGGCTGACAGAGACTCAGGAACACCGAACCACCCTCAATATTCCTCTATACACATCATAGAAAATATAATGTAAACTAGATGTAAGGACAGTTAAATGGGTCTTTTAGTATTTATATTTTAATAAATCCATAAGAACCAAATTGACCATTTAAAAACATGGTAGATGAGCACAGAGGACTAAAGTACTGATTGCTCTTGTGGTGAAGACATCACAGGTCTCATGGAACTACAAATTTGAGACAGTACTTTGATCTAAAATGCGAATCAAAAAAAAAATATATATATAATATGTACTGGCACACCTGCCCATAGAAAAGACTACTATTGCAACTATCCATCATGCTTACTACGGTGTAGAGAAATAGAAATGTTCCAAATCTCAGTAGAGAATGGCTGCGACCAAGTTCACCATCTATAATACAAAATCAGAACAGAGCCATGAGAATACTAACCAAACTATTGTGATAAAAAGTACCTCTCTTCACCAAAAAACATTTTATCCTCACCAGACCAACAGGATCACATAGCAGACAGCCCTCCAAGTAGAAAGCCAGACCAACCACAACGATGCATCCAATATATATAGATCTCAATTAGAAATACTTGTCTAATCAAAAGGTGATCAAGTGAACCTGTGCTGCCAGCAAGAGGAGAAGGTGGGAACCCACCAATGGCGCCAAAAAGCCAGAATTGCTCTGATCAATGTCTATATAATCTAATTTGTAAGCACAATTATGGTAATTGGTTTAATATTACTCACCATTATGTGTATATTATCATTTATTGTTGTATGTTTAAAAGAAATTCCTTCTGTGTTCATACCCCCTGAAGATGATAAAAAATGGAGTGACCAAAACGCATTGGGGTAGTCTCTCTTTTCTTGAGAGTTTTTTTTCATCCCTAGGAGGAAGTATTTTGTAATATTGCCTGAGTCCATTTTAAATTATATGTGGAGTACTTCCCCTACCTTTTGAGCTTCCTCCATTTTGTGAAGAAAGTGAATTTCAGCATTGTCAGAGCTAATGTCCTTGAAATAAATGTGTATTTTTTATAAGGATGTCTATGAAATAAAGCATATCATTTTTTAAAAGAAGTCTCTATATGTATATTTAACTATGGTTGCTGCATAAAAGTCCCTCATGGGGGTGTTCTTTGTATGTTGTGTTAAAAGTAATTTTTTTTCAATGTATGAAATTTGCTTTGAAAAATATCACTCAGTGCACTGCCCTATCCTCAGTTTTATGGTGCTCTCTTTATTGGAAATATGTATTTACCTTAAATAGCATGTTCTTAATTTCCAAAAGAGAAAATCTGCTTTATAAAAAAAAATAGCTTTAAACACATTGCAGATATGGGATTCATTTAATACAAATGTTAATATATAAGTCAGTAAATGTAGAGAGAATTTGTCATAGCAAAAATAGCACTTGGCAGTTCAGTTATTAGAAATCATAACATTTCTGCTTAGTTTGTCCGTGTCTGGGGTAAATCCCAACTTTTCAACTTTAATTTGATTTAAAGCTGAATAATAGGTATTTTTTTTTAGTATAGCTTAGCTTTTTACCTTGGATCTGGCCAATGTTTATGATAGCAGAGAATTACTGTAATAGCCACATCTACTACAATGATCTTCACTGTCTTCTGGATCATTTGCCAAGTGACTTTCCTGCTGCATAGTAACCAGTAGCCCACGCTGCTTGGCCAACATTTAGACTATAGGGTTGATTTACTAAAGGCAAATAGACTGTGCACTTTGAAAAGTGCAGTTGCACTCTGCAAGAGCAGTTGCTCCAAAGCTTAGTAAATCAGGTTAAGCCTCAGTTTGCAAACAATACCTAAATACATTATTAAAAAAACAGCATTTTGCTTGCACATGATTGGATAATGGAAGTTGACATACATTTTGACCTACGTTAATATGCATGTTAGTGCGCATTAATGTGTACTGCATTTTCACAGCATATCCTGTGCATTGCATTGACATCTGCTTACATCCACTTGCATCAGATTACATCCGTTGCGTTGAACTAAAATGCATTCATGATCTGCGTTTTACAGCTGCGGTAAAATGCAGATCAACACATTGGTGTAAATTGGCCCATATTAAGCGCAGGAGCAATTGCTCTTGCAGAGTGCAACTGCAGTTTGCAAAGTGTACAGTCTATTTGCCTTTAGTAAATCAACCCCAATGCTTTTCATTTTTCTTAACAAATGGAAAGTGTTGTCTTATTGGACAAGATGGAGAGGTGGGGCAGTGATGTCACAATCCCCATCGTGTCCACTCAGCAAAAGCTTTGCATTTATTGAGAAAAATGCAAGGCATGCTGCATGGTGCCCAAGCCGAGTATGGGATCAGGAAGACAGTGAAGATCACTGTAGTAGTGGGAATGGTCCAAGCTGAACCAGTGTAACTACTGAAAAAAAAACATACCTGGAATTCATTTTTAATACATTGCAGGCACATTAAAACAAGGGAGTACAAAGTTGCACAGTTTGTTTACTTTAGAAAAAGACCTTAACCTGAGTAGAAAAGCTTGTTTCTTGCCAGCATACTGTAAAGAAGAACCTTTGCTCCATGTGTAAAAGCAGTGGTTTCTCAGCAGAGGTTCAACATGCTCCCTGATGAGTCTGAGATAGAGGTCTCTTACCAGCAGAGAGCATGAGACTGATAGAAAAGTGTCTTCTCTACAGTATGCTGGCACATTTCTCTGTCAGGCTGTGGCTAATTTTTGTAAGACTTGCACACTTTTTGTTTTGATGTATCTGAAATGTAAGATTAATTGTATCCAATTTAAGATGGAAAGTTCCATTGGGCTTTAATGCTATAGATCAAAGTTTACCTTGGCTGTTGACAGGCTACATACAAGGGAGTGTTACATACAAGGGAGTCCCCTTGTTTCTAACACTCAGAAACCTGGAAACATACAAAAATGTAGGACCTCTGTGTGGCTTTGGATCCTACTCAAAAGTATGTTTTAGTATTTGAAGGTTTGAAGTATGAAAAATATTTGAGAAATTTTAGAACATATTTATTTGGGATTGAGGTTTTGAGGCTATCAAGCAAAATGAGAAGGGATTTCACAAACTAGCTGTCTGGTAGCAGGCTCCATGAAAGCTCCAAAATACCACAATTAAAGCATACATGTGCATACTGTCAGACATTCCTTGTGATGAAGAGCATATCTGTTCCAGAACGTGGATCCTCTACTTTTTTGACAGCTGTGGATAGATGGGTGCCTCTTACATAAAGGGGCAGGTGCTACAGTTTTTGACTGAGAGCCAGTTCAGAACAGAGGATGCTCCAGAACTAGAAAGAATTTCTTTAGTTGGACCGTTTGCAGGTAGGTGGTGCAAGAGACAGACTTTATGGTTTTAAAACCCTATGTCGTGTGACAGCTGTAAAATATGAAAGAATATAGTTGATCTGAAATAGATATATCAAAAAAGGCCATAGCCGAAAAAGCAAGAAGAAAGGAGCAGATAA